CGAGGAGGGCGATGAGAAAGGAAGGGGAGGGGGAGAAGGAGGAGGAGGAGGAGGGAGGAAGGAAGGAGGAAGGAGAAAGGATGAAGGAGGAAGAAGGAAGGAGGAAGAAGGAATGATGAGGATGAGGGTGAGGATGAGGATGAAGATGAGGCGGGGACGATGATGATGATGCTGATGATGATGCTGATGATGATGATGCTGCTGATGATGATGATGATGATGGTGATAATGATGCTGATGATGACGATGATGATGATGATGCTGATGCTGATGCTGATGATGCTGATGATGACGATGATGATGATGGTTAATGATGATGCTGATGATGCTGCTGATGATGACGAGGAGGAGGAGGAGGAGGAGGAGGAGGAGGAGGAGGAGGAGGAGGAGGAGGAGGAGGAGGAGGAGGAGGGAGAAGGGAGGAGGAAGGGGAGGAGGAGGGGGAGGAAGAGGAGGAGGGAAGAGGAGGAGCAGGACAAGGAAAAGGGAGAAGGAAGTTGGGAAGGAGGGAGGGAGAGGGGGAGGAGGGAGGGCGAGGGGAGGAAGGAAGGAGGAGGCAGGAAAGGCAGCAGAGGGGCCAGCAGGCAGAGCAGGAAAGGGAGGCGAGGTGACGGCGCCCGAGGAGGCGGAGGAGGGCGGCAGGCGGGCGGGCACCGCAGCGGGGCGGCACGCTGGGGGGGCCCTCCTGGCCACGGCCTCGCAGAACTCGTTGAACCCCAGCCCCACGGACGCTGGCCGCAGGATGGCGGGCGGGGTCCGGCTGCCTTCGGCGCAGGGCGGGCAGCTGGCGGCGCTGGCTGCAGGGTGCTGCTGCTGCTGCTGCTGCTGACTGCTGCTGCTGCTGGTAATCGTCGTCGTGTCGTCGTCGGCGGCGGCGGCGGCGGCGGCGGCGGAGGCGGCGTCGGCGGCGGCGGCCGACGGCGTCGGCGTCGGCGGCGTCGGCCTCGTCGTCCTGCTCCTCCTCCTCCTCCTCCTCTCCTTCTCCTCTTCTTCTTCTTCTTCTTCTTATTCCTCCTCCTCCTCCTCCTCCTCCTCCTCCTCCTCATCATCATCATCATCATCATCACCATCGTCATCAGCAGCAGCATCATCACCATCATCATCGTCAGCAACAGCATCAGCATCATTGCCAACATCGTCATCAGCATCAGCATCATCACCACCACCATCATCATCAGCATCATCGTCAGCATCAGCATAGTTAAGAGGTACAAACATAATCACCACCATCATCATCATCATCATCATCATCATCATCATCATCATCCGAATCGTCATCACCATCAGCACCATCATTATCATACTCAACATCAGCATCAGCATCATCATCATCATCATCATCATCAGCAGCAGCAGCAGCAGCAGCAGCCGCATCAGCATCAGGATCAGCATCAACATCATCATCAAGTTTAGCATCACCACCAACACCCGCCGCTTCCGCTCCCTCATTCCCTTTCCTGCCCTCCTGCTTCGACTTAGCCCTCGTCGCCAAGCTCTATCTACTCTACTCCTCCACGGGGGGCACAATCGGGCATGGCGAGCGCATGGTGAGCTGGGTAGCTCTCCTTGGAGGCGGGGACGGAGATGGATCTGGGGGGGGGGGAAGCCTGGGAACGCGGATCGCAGAAGAGGCACAGGGGCAGGGAGGGGACTCTCGGGCCAGCGGAGGGAGGAGGAGAGGAAGGGCGGCATGACGGAGGGGGGAAGCGAGGAGAGGGGGCGCCGGCGGGCACGGACGGGAGAGGGGGCAGCCGGGTGGGACCGAAGAGAGGAGGGAGGAGAGCCTGGGAGCCGCGGGGGCAGGGGGTGGGGAAGCGCATGCGCGCAGGTCGGAGATCCAGGAGATCCAGCTGAGCGCACAAACATACGGTGACGGCGGCCGTGACACGCTCACTGGACCGCTGCTGCTGCCGCTAAAAGCTGCGTGCTGTGCGCGGCGAGGGATGGCACGCTGCTGATCAGCAGGCGGGCGGCCTCGCGGCGCGGGAAACAACAACACCCTGATCGATCGTGGCCTAAGCTCTCGCGGCCTTGGCGCCGTGGCGCGGGGAAAGACACCCTCATCGTTACTGGCTAGGCGCTCGCGGCCTTTTGCGAGGCATCTCGATGCATTCGGGTGCTGGGCGGCGAGAGGGGAGGATTCGGGGACAGAGATGGAGGGGCTCGAAGGCTCGCGGGGTAATTATCAGGGGGAGGGGGGCCCCAACCAGACCGAGTAAGAACTGCCCCTTTGGAAAGCGGCAGTCAGTCTGCTCCTCCTCCTCCTCCACCTCCTCCTCCTCCTTCCTCCTCCTCCTTCCTCCTCCTCCTTCTCCTGCTCCTCCTCCTCCTCCTTCCTCCTCCTCCTCCTCCTTCCTCCTCCTCCTCCTCCTCCTCCGGGGGGCAGACCAGCAGCGCGCCCATCACGGCACACGAAGCGACGCCCAGGAGGTAAAAGCGCGCACTCGGTGTCGAGGGTGCCAGAGGCTCGAAGAAAGCTCCAGGCGGCTCCCATGCCACAGTCAGGGCAATCGGGGTGCACCTCATGCCCGTCACGGTCCAGGCACCAGACACACAAGGCGCAGCGTGCTGAGTAAGCCCTGCGACCCCAGAAGCAAAGGCGGTTCAGCTGCCAGGGGGGAACGCGAGCTGCTGCCGACCAGCTAGTGTTCAGACGCTTCATCACCTACCCAGCTCGTCTAAACTCATCACCTGCCCAATTCGTCCAAACAACTCTAGACGCGATCGGGCACCTACCATGCACGCGAGCACCAAGGACACCATCTAGGTATGACTACCATTCGGATGGCTAGCAAGGGGAACATCTTCCCCAATCCCAAGTTGACCATCTGAAAGCATGAGCGGCATCAACCGCTGCACCAACATCACACTCTCTCTCTCTCTGAGTATTCGTGGCATTGGGCAGGCTAAAGACGAGCTTCAAGATGGGGAGGAATCGCGTTTCGAAGACAATCCCGGTCAACTGCTCCGGCTTCAGCCTTCAGCGATGCCACATCTGGACCAAAAGAAGAAGGCCAACTCAACTGTTATGGCAATCGACGGGCACGTGACGACAAGCGGGAGTGACACCCTCGCGCCCTTGCGGCAGGAAAGCCTGGAGAGCTCGACGCAGTTACGACGTGGGGTCACGTTTCTGGAGTCCCGAAACGGTGCGCTGACGGACCGTGCGGTGACCTCGAAATCCCCCAATACCTCACCGCACGGTCCGTCACTGCACGGTCTTGGGACCCCGGAGGCCCCTGTCACCCAGGACGTCCTCGGAGAACGACCCGAGTCCCAAAACCGTGCGGTGACCCCACAATCCCCACCGACTCACCGCACGGTGTGGTCACCACCCCGTTTGGGGGCCCCCGAACGTTGCGGGGGCGCACGACGGGAGGATCGCGACAGGGACAAGGACCACGACGGCAGTGGGAGGCCACGGCAGGCAGCGGGAGGCGAGGCAACGGGAAGCCACGGGAGGCCACGGGGGTCACCAGGAGGCCGCGGGAGGCCACCAAGGGGTGCCACGGGAGGAGGCCGCGAGAGGCAGAGGCCACGGGAGGCCAGGGGAGGCCACGAGAGACCACGGGGCCACGAAAGGCCACGGGGGTCACCCGGAGGCCGCGGGAGGCCACCGGGGGGTGCCACGGGAGGAGGCCGCGAGAGGCAGAGGCCAGGGGAGGCCAGGGGAGGCCACGAGAGACCACGGGAGGCCGCGGGAGGCCACAGGAGGCGCGGGGGGCAACGGGAGGCAGGCCGTTGGGGAGGCCAGTGGGGAGGCAGCGGGAGGCCACGGGAGGCCTCGGGGGGCAACGGGAGGCAGCGTCGCCCTCCCACGAGATTCGGGGTCTGGCGATGCACACTCTAGGCGATTTTTTGTGTGTGTGGGGGGGGGGGGCGGGGCACAGTTGGGGGCTCTAGGCCTTCGAACGTGAGATTGAGCCGTCAGAGACAAGCTGCCCGAGCTGTCAGGATGACAGCAGTGCCTGGCGATGGCAGCTAGAGTTTCACCGGGGCTCCAAGGACAGAGCAAGTGCCGCTGGCACTGCAGCCCGCAAGACGTGAGGCAACATGCATCCGCCACGATCGGTGTCGGGCGGATTCTCCACCTGACCAAACGTCGCTCATCCGTGCCAGCGTCAACGCATGACAGCCGACTGGGCGGCTCGACAGCATCGTGCCCCTCTTCGGGCGGCGGAAGACAGGACCGTGCGACATCAATGGCCCAGCCCGCTGAGAAGACTAAGAGCATCCAAGCACCAGCCAGCCTTTGGGTGGACGGACCCCTGAGCACTGGGATCGCGCAGTCACATATCAAATCCTCCTTCTCCTCCTCCTCCTCCTCCTCCTCCTCCTCCTCCTCCTCCTCCTCCTCCTCCTCCTCCTCCTCCTCCTCCTCCCCCTTCGGAGCGACACCAGTGCAAGCATGCAAGGAAGATGCCTGCAGTGGAAGGCGCAGCTGGCAGGAAGAGGAGGCCAGGATCCGCCGACCACTGTTTGCCGGGCATGAAAGGGCCTGGGAGACCTTCTTTGGCTGTCCCCCACCTCCTTCTTCAAACAAAGCCAGGACGAGGATAAATTGGCGGCGTGGACAAGGGGGTAGGGGGAGGGGGGAGGCTTCTTTGAAGAAGGCTGCTTCGTAGAAGGCGCCGGCCCTACAGAAAAGACTCATGCCTGAAGCGAGGATGCTTCAAAGATACCTTCCCTCCTCCCCCTGCCCCCCTCTGCGCGTGGCCGAATACAATCGGGTGAGGATAGATCGAGAATCTCTGAAATCCAGCAGCTCTGGAGGATGTCTCGGGCGACGCGGCCTTCTCATAGCGTTCCCGAACGCTCTGAGAGCGTTCCAGAACGCTCTAGAAGGGATTGATTCCCCAATCAGTGCTTGCACTGAAGGGGTCCATGCGGAGATTGAAAAATCTGGCGGAGGTTTCCCGCCGATTTTGGTAGCCGGTTAAGTCCCCGGGTTCCCAGTTCCGGGTTCCCGGGTTCCTGGTCGTTGGTTTCGGGCCGATTTCGGTGGGTTGCGGGTTCCCGCGTTCCCTGTCGATCTCCTTTACCGAAAACCATCCACTGATTGGGGTTTTTCTCTGGTGTAATCCTCGTCATAGCCCCGTCCCCCCTTCCACTCCCCAGGGGTCCAAAATCCCATTCTAGGAGGGTGGGTGGGGGGTGGGAGGACGAATTCAGCGCCTCCAGGGGTTCTCTCCGGTGCCTCCAGGTGCCACAGAACGGCCCAGGAGGGCCCAAACACAATGCCGAGACAGTCCAAGAGAGCGTCGAGACGGCTTGAGGTAGCCCCACGACGGTCAAAGATGGATTCAAGGCAGCCCACGAAGCCCCCCAGGAAGGCCCAATGGTGCTCCCACAAGACCGCCGAGAGGGCCAAAGACGTAAAAGTCTGCCCGATCCCTCAAGAGGCCCAAGAGGGGCAATCCGAGCTGCCATCTCGAGCATTTCTCCTTTCATGGCCCCAGAAGCCTCTCAAAGACTCCTGAGGCGCCCCCAAGAGGCTCCCACGAGGCCCCCAAAAGGCCACCAAGAGGCCCCAAAAAGCCAGCCAGATGCCCCCATAAGCCCTCGAGGGCGTGAAAAACACTCAATCAATCCAACTCGAACATAATCTACCGAACGCCATGGACGACTCTACTCCGCTGGGGGTCGGCGGAATGGCGTAAGCCACTGGAGTAACGACGGATGAGGAGGACGAGGCGGACAAGGACATACTACGATAATGACACATGCAGGGAGGAAGCAGAAGAGCCAGGAGGAGAGGAGGACGACGAGGAAGGAAGATAAGAGGAAGGAAGAAAAATGGGAGGATCACGAGAAAGAGGGCGAGGAGGTGGAAGACAAGGAGGAGGAAGTGGAGGGGGAGATGGAGGAGGAGGAAGAGGAAGGGAAGGAGGCGAAGGAGGCAAAGCAGTGGCTGGCAAAGGCGAAGCATAGCGATGGTGGCCTTGCGAGGGCGTACACGGAAGCCACGTGCTTCGCGGTGAAATGCTGGTCGTTGATGCGCAGCAGCTGGGCGAACCGCTGGAACGACACCTCGCTGCCGCCGTACCGCTCCCACGCCTGGGCGGACGAGGCTCGGGAAAGGAGCGCAAACTCGCACAGAAGGAACTAGAGCAGTACCTTCGTGCAGGGGCCCAGGGGGGCGGGCGGAGAAGCAGCGACACCAGCCATGCGACGTCCTGATTTCTTCCGCGCGGGCCCCCCGGATGCCCCGACCCTTTCCATCGGGACCGGCCTTCCGTCCCGAGCCGGCTTTCTTCGCGGTCCCGGGGCCCGGTCCGGGCCCCCCAGGGGCCGCAAACAGCGAAACACCTCGCGTCCTGATGTCTTCACGACGCGGGCATGTCTAAGGAGCGAGAGAAAAAAACGCGAGAAGCGGTCCCGGGGCCCGGTCTGGCCCCCCAGGGGCCGCAAAGAGCGAGAAACCTCGCGTCCTGATGTCTTCACGACGCGGGCATGTCTGGGCAGCGAGAAACAAAAGCGCGAGAAGCGGGGCTGCCGTCGCCGCGCGCGCGCTCCCCACCGACAGCGGCCTCCAGCAGCGTCTTCCTGCCGGCCAGGAGCTTGTCCCGCACCTCCGGGCCAGTGCGGCGGCGGCGGCGGGGCACTGGGCAAGAGGAGGAGGAGGAGGAGGAGGAGGAGGAGGAGGAGGAGGAGGAGGAGGAGGAGGAGGAGGAGGAGGAGGAGGAGGAGGAGGAGGAAGACTCCGCAGGAGGCACCTGCACGATCCTTGCCTGGGCCGTCCTGGGCCCATATGGTGTGTCGACTCTCCTGGCCTCGTGCTCCGGGTCTTCGCCAGGTGGGCGCCCGGTGGCCGCCTCGTGGGCACCTCTCGCGCTGGCGGGGAGCTCCCGGGCCTCGTGGCGCCCACCTCCGCCTCGTGGGCGCCCCGTGCCAGCCGGGAGTTTCCGGGGGTTCGCCTGGCGTGGCCGCCTCGTCGGCGCACCCCGACGTGGCTCGCAGCACGCACTGCGTCCGCCGCGGGGGCCTCCGCACTTCTGGAGCCGCGTCGGCTGCTCCGCCGCCGCTCCAAGGGATCCTCTCCGCAGCCTCGGGATCCCACGCGTGGGCACGGCGCAGTGTGCAGGCCGCCGCCGGAGGCAGCGGTGCACCTGGCCAGGCTCGCCGCGCGCCCGTGCGCGCGGGCAGCAGAGCAGCTCCAGCGCAAGGATGGCACAGGCAGAACATGGCGCACAGGACGCGCGACAGGACACAAGACTCTTCCGACGGCAGCAGGGCTTCCAAAACCACAGGACACAAGGGTACCCTGCTGAGGCCGCGACCGCGGTTACCCGCGGCCGATCCGCAGCTCCGCGATGGGTGGCGCACGCCAGAAATGACGCCAAGGGTATCCGACTGGCCGCGCTGCTCGCCGCGTGAAAAATCTTGTGGCGCGTCGCCCGCGCCCACCCCCCTTCCCGGGCGATCGCGACCTGTCGCCATAGCAGAGGACCAGAGAACCAGGGCGCGGCCGCGGACGTCGCAAACGAGAGGACGCGCAGATCACCCTCCTGCGGGAGAGCGACCTGTCGCCAGGACAGAGGACCGAAGGACATGGGCGCGGCCGCGGACGTCGCAAACGACAGTCGTGCCGTCCTCCTCAACCGCTGCACAGCCGTGCCGTCCTCCTCAACCGCTGCACAGCCCTCTCTCTCTCTCTCTCCCCCCCCCGCTGCTGCTGCTCCTTCCCATCTCTCTTGCCCCTGCTGTTCCCCGAGCTTCCTGGTCAGGCTCTACCTGGACCAGCACACATCAGAGCACAGTGCGGTTCGTCGATGAACTTGTCTGGATCTCATACGTAGGTCATATCACACACACGATGGTCTACATTGCCTTCTCTGTGTTATTTTGCATCGTCCTCTCTTGACAGGCTGGTCAAAAACAACATGACGGTGATGCCAGGGCAACCGCCTGGCGTAGCGCTCATAGTCATGGTCGGCGCTGGGGTTTCGCTTCCTCCCTCTCCGTCCCCGCTCTCGGTCCCCTTAGCCCGCGGGTGCGTGACCGATTAGGCACGCAGAATCACGGCGATGCCGGCCCAATGACCAGACATATGCACGAACATGTGCCCCCGCTCCTCCTGGCTCCGCATTCTAGCCTGTCCGCTCATTCCGCCTCCTCCGGAAACTCCCGGTGAATGTTCGGATGTCCCCCTTGATCCCGCAGCCTACTCGAGGCACTTGGCCATCACACACACATCCCAGGGCCCTCCGACGCAGACAGATGTCTTGCCTCGCCTCCACGCACGCTGCGGCGGCCGCAGGCAGGGCGATGTGCAGGCGCCAGTGGAGTCTTACGCGGCGCTGTTCCTCCCCACCCTTGGAAGGAAAACATCCTTCCGACGGATGCCGCGACCGACTCGGTGCGGTGCGGCTTCACGCGGGCCGACGCCTTTGTGCCGCGGGCTGCTCCCCTGCGCGCAGGGTGGGGCCCAGCGAAGCGCCTGCAGCTGTTTGTTGGGAGGAGGACCCCCCGCCCCGCCGCGCACCCAGGAGCCTCGTGAGGCAGCGAGCCTCTCGCGGATCGCCACGCCCTCCATGTGCGCACCGCTGGTTGTTCCCTTCGTTTCTGAATCGGGTTCCCGTTCTTGGCCGTTGGGGTCGGCGCGGCAGGGTGGATCGAGCGAGCACCCTGCTGCGCCAGGTTTTGAGCTGCGCGGGGTACCGATTTGGTCGGTGCCCCCTCTGCGGACCCTGATGTGTTCATCTTGTTCGCAGTTGGCGAGCACTGGCCTCCTGCAGCTTACAGCAGGTGCGCATGGCCTCGATGAAAGGTATTATGACTGGTATTATGATGAGCAGTAGCCCAACGGACGCATCCCCAAGAGGTCTGTAGTAGCCTCGCACAGGCACTGGCAGGTGTCTAGGTCTTCTCATGATTCGATGGGCCGGATGATGCCTTCAATTATGATCCCGAGTCGGACGTCATGTACTTGCTGTCCATACCGTTCTTCCGTCTCTGGATGTCCAACGTCCCAACGTGTCGGCTCGGAGCTCGTCCGCCTCGGCAGCTCTCGCACGACAACCTTCGTGTTCGGCAGAATCTCTGCTCTTCGCCCCCCCCCCTCTGCCGATGTCGTTCGTGCGAACTGCACACGAGGCCGACGCCAGTCTATCGCATCCTGCTGCCTCGGCTGCCAAAAACAGCGATTGCCCCGCCCCCCCACTTCCTCCGCCTCCCTGTCATCAGCCCAGCCCTCAGACGGCAAAAATCGCTCAGAACCGTGCGCAGACAAGAATGCGCCGTGAATCCTGGCGCCTGGCCCCAGTTCTGAGACCAGGCTTCCTCGCGCAGTTGGCGGAGCCAGCTGCTATCCCGCTCCTGAGACAGTTGACCTCCAGCACACAGATATCAATTGCGTCCAAGCCCGCCTCGGGCTAGATTGACCCAGCCTCCTTGACATGGGAGGGTGTGGCAGGCGCTGCGCACCGTGCTCACTCTGGTGGCCAGCTTACCTGGAGCACTTGTCGCACGAGGAGGGAGGCAGGGGGAATGGAACGAGCGGAGCGGGAGGGCGCGGAAGATTGTGGAAGGCTCCGACGTGGAGCTTTGGCCAACGCTGCGGTTGAGGCATCACTCCGAGGTAGAGAGGTGGCCGCCGCTGCGGCCAGATACCGTCTCAAGAGACTAGAAGAAACAAACACTCACCAAAGCTGCACGTCACCGCTGTTCCTGCGGCAAGGGGTGCGATCTGAGCCCACCTGCAGCGGGGCCAGCATAAGACGACCCCCCTGTGTAAGGCCAAGGGGGGCATAGTAGCACGCCAGGCTTCCCGCAGAGCTCCCCGATGCCAAGATACTGTCGATACTTTCGGCGTGTATACACGCTGTGTGGGGGGAAAACATAGTCAACATATCGTTGCAGCTGCTGTATGCTGTCGGGAGCAACATCTTACGATGGCTTGTTGGAAAGGTTGGTGCATGAACGGTATTGACACTCCGCTACCCACTCTGTTTCCTGACGAGTGGCGGTGCAAGCTATCGTGCGCAGGGAAAGCGCGAACTCCGTCCACTTCCTTGTCTGACCATATCGCGTCTATGCTTCTGCGTCATCATTCCCGTCTGGCACGCGCTACCGAGACTTTCATGAACATAATGTTCTGACTCATAATCGGGGAATGGAAGTGAATCAACGGGTAAGACGGGGTGGGAATGCGACTGGCATGTGTCCTCCCCCGCTTTTCCCATTCCTTGTCGCCATGTCCCATCGGATCGGACTTGGGCGTTCTTTTCCCGGCCGATGCCCTCTCCCTCCTGTCGCCACCGCCTCCTCTGCTCCTCGCTTCTGTCCGGGCGGTGGGTGGGATTCGGACGGCCCGCTTCGTGGGGCGGGATCTACATCTCACCACTCTCCCCCCGAGAGTAGCCCAAGGACGTTCGCATCTCGGAAAAACCCGCCAACCCTGCGGATAGGCCCCGCCTCGTAGGCGCTGCTCTATGCGTTCGTTGCGATTCTCGGTTCCCGACCTCCTCCTCCTCCTCCTCCTCCTCCTCCTCCTCCTCCCCATTCTTCCTCCTCCTCCTCCTCCTCCTCTCCTCCTCCTCCTCCTTCCTCCTCCCTCCCTCCTCCTCCTCCTCCTCCTCCTCCTCCATCTCCTCCTCCGTCTCCTCCATCTCCTCTATCTCCTCCTCCTCCTCCTCCTCCTTTTCCTCCTCCTCCTCCTCTTCCTTCTTCTTCTTCTTCTGCCTCCTCCTCCTCCTCGTCCTCGCCATCATCGTCAACATCATCATCATCATCATCATCATCATCATCATCATCATCAGCAGCAGCAGCAGCAGCAGCATCATCAGCATCAGCATCAGCATCAGCATCAGCATCATCACCATCATCATCATCATCATCATCATCATCATCATCATCATCATCAGCATCATCATCATCATCACCGTCAGCATCCTCATCATCATCATCATCACCATCATCAGCATCATCATCAGCCGCATCATCATCAGCAGCAGCATCATCGCCATCATCATCCACACCACCACTATCATGATCAGCATCATCATCAACATCATCAGCATCAACATCATAATCACCATCATCATCAGCATCATCATTCACAGCATCATCATCATCATCATCATCACCATCATCATCATCAGCAGCATCATCATCATCATCATCAGCATCATCAGCATCAGCATCAACATCATCATCATCATCGTCATCATCACCATCATCATCACCATCATAATCACCATCATAATCACCATCATCACCATCATCAGCATCATTATCACCATCATCATCCTTCTCCTCCTCGTCAGCCTCGTCGTCGTCGGCGTCGTCCTCCTTCTGCTCCTCCTCCTCCTCCTCCTCCTCGGGCGCAGGAGGGCGAGGGGGATAGCCGGGGAGGGGGGGGAGAAGGGAAAGGAGAGGGAAGGAAGAAAAGTAGGGGAGGCGAGAGAAGGGGAGGGGAGGGCAGGAGGGAGAGGGAGGTGGTGGGATGGAAGGCAGGAGGGGAGAAAGAGGAGAAGGAGGAGGAGGAGGAGGAGGAGGGCAGGAGGGGAGGAGAGGGAGGGACGTGGAGGGTGGGCAAGAGAGATAGATAGAACGGGGTCCTATTGACTTTGCTCTTCGTGCTGATACGTACTCGCTCATACAGGGAAATATTGAGGATTGGGTCGATGTCCTCCAAGCGGTGCTCCGCTTTCACCTCCTCCCTCTCCTCATTCCGACAATTTCTGACATGCAGTACTCAGTGGCCTCACACAGTAGCAAGCAGCCCGCTAACCTCACCCTGCGGGACCAGGGGCACACGCTGACGCCCGAGGCCCCCTACAGGGCTGGGGAAACTCACTACTTCACGTCAACATCACTGTGTCCCGATGTCTCCAGGCCCCCTCATCATCTATTCCGAGCATCGCGCTTCTCTTGCGCCTTCTGCTTCTTCTCTTCGTCCTGCTCCCTCTTGACACAACCGTTGAACTTGGTCTGCCGCTCTCTGTCCACCTCGCCCGGCTCCAGCGGATCCGCCGCGTAGACCTCAGCGTGGCACGATTGGGACACACAGGCTGCCAAGCAATCATCGTTCTCGTCGGTGTGAAAATCCTTGCAGATGCTCTTTGCGCACTCGCTCTCCTTCTTCCAGTGCGCCTTCGACGCCGACCCCCCTCCGTGCTTCTTCGGCTTCGCGGCCACCGCAGTGAGGGCTGTGCAGACGAGCAACATCCTGAGGCATCTTGCTGGGCGAGCCCGTCGCCCAGAGGTCAGCGCAGCTCGGCATGCTTGCCGTCGATGAGATTCTTGACAGACGCGTCGACAACCGAAGAGGAAGAACGCACCAACATCCATGACCAGTGACTCCCTGCGGGACGGCGGGGAGTGGCTCCGATAGCTGGGCGCCAGAGCCTAGACGGCCATATCACGCATGACAATGCGAGGGTAGACTTGTCCATGGCTCTCAAGCTCCCACGCTTCGACGATGCGCCGTCCATGATTACAGGCGCAGCGAAAGCGCGCCGTCCACGAGAAGCAGGCCCCTGGACCGGCGACACATGGCCCCAAGGCGGCCCAACATGGCTCCAAGGCGGCCGCAGACTGCCCCAGGAGACCACCACGAGACCCCCAAGGGCCTGAGAGGCCCCGAGGAGGTCGCCTCCTCGTCCGCATCCTCCTCCTCGTCCTGCCTCCCGTGCTGCTTCCTCTCTTCCTCCCCCGAGTGCTCCCTCCCAAGGCTTTCCACCGCGGCTGCCGGTGGACCGCACAGTCCAATACCTTGGCCAAGCCTTGGCCAAAACGCTCGGCCAGATCGTGTTTCTTTCCAGAACGGCAGGAGGCGGCGGGGGCTCGCCGCAGGCGCCTTCGATCGTGACGCCTGGCCGTGCTGACCAGAACACCCACGGGGATAGGAGGAAGGGGAACGACACCAATGCCACCAGAGAGAAGCGCCACAGGGGGGGCCCCTCCTGGTGGTGTGGTCCGCGCCCCTCTCGCTCGAGACGCCTCCGAGGTGCCCCAGCTCGGGGAGGCATCGTGGGCCTCCACGCCCGAGGTGCCCCCCCCAAACCCCCGGGTTGCGGTGGTGGTGCCGTTTTCTTGTTGTTTTGTTGCCCTCTCTTTTTTGTTGTTCTCTCTCTCTCTCTCACTCTCTCTCTCTCTCTCTCTCTCCCACTCTCTCTTGCTCCGACGAGGCACACACCTTGTCAAGCATGCCCTTGCTCGCATGCTTGAAGGTTGAAGGGTGGGGAGAACGAAATAGAGCGGGGGGGCCCATACGGAAAATCGGCTTAGGCTTCGGCCCGTGTCTCGCGTGCGGCGCAGCACAGCTTCACGAGGGCGCGGGCGATCCTGCACCTCCACCATCGCTCGGACGTCCATTCCCCGCGCACTTTCTGGTCTCGTGCGCTTGTTTTTTTTTCGCGAGGTGATCCAAGAGGCTCGGTCCTCGATGGTCCTCTCCGACAGAAACGTGCACACGTCCGAGCGATGCCACGGCACTAGCCAGGCACAGGTCCAGCCAGAACGGGCCGCGTGGAACTGGGGCGTACGCGGGGGCTGTCCCCGCGGATGTGTCCCACGGTTGCTCCCGTGGCCTGCGCGGGAGTGTCCCACGAATGGCCTGTGGTTGTCCCGTGGTTGTCCTGCGGTCGTCTCGTCTGTAGGTGGCGATGGCGGTGTCGACGCAGAGATTGGCGCTGAGATCGGCAGATCGAGACTGATGTGAGATCGGATGATGCATGAAGGGAACGACGTATCGAAAGATGGACTGTATAGTTTGATCGATGCCCCGTGATTGTTCCGTTTTCGTCCCGTCTATATATATATATATCTATATATATAGATGTGTGACGTATGTGTATATATATAGTTATATTTATAGATCGATATACCGTCGATTGCAATAAACATGTATATAACTACATGGTATGATGGTGGCATTAAGCGGTACAACATACAACCACGATGCCCAAACCGATACGTTGTGAGACCAGCTTGTGCCTTTCCCTCTTCCTCCTCCTCGGAAAATCGACAAGCAGACATCGACATCGCCAGAGAGACAGCATGCGAATCCGATCTGACGCCCATCGCAAACCCCAAAGGTGTGCTCGTCCCCCCCACCCGCAACCTCCTCGTCGACCGCAGGGCACCGCCATCTTCCTCACCAGGGCACCATCGGGACACCACCGGGGCTGACGTAAACCCAAAGGTGTGCTCATCCCCCCACCCGCAAAACCTCCTCGTCGACCGCAGGGCATCGCCATCTTCCTCACCAGGGCACCGTCGGGACACCCACCGGGGCTGACATAAACCCAAAGGTGTGCTCATCCCCCCACCGCGATGCCCTCCTCGTCGACCGCAGGGCACCGCCATCCTCCTCACCAAAAGGCACCGTCGGGACACCCACCGGGGCTCGCGCGCGCCCGCCGCCCGCTGGCACGCGCAGCCGGGCGACCCGGCCCCCGCCCAGTCGCACCGACGACCTGGGGAGCTCGCGCAGAGCTTCGCATTCGGTCGGGCATGTCCTACAGGCGGGCTTTGGGGAGAAGAACCAAACAGAGCCACAACAGCGCAGAGCTTAGCATTCGGTCGGGCATGTCCTACAGGCGGGTTTTGGGGAGAATAACCAAACAGAGTCACAACAGCGCAGAGCTTAGCATTCGGTCGGGCATGTCCTACAGGCGGGTTTTGGGAGAACAATGAAAGAACTAGTCAAAATAGATACGCAAAGACACACACACACACACATACTCAAACATCGCCCCCGGACTGTACGTTGCAAACCATGCTTGCGTATTCTTCCTGTAGACGGGCACGCCCGACTTACGCTGAGCAGGAGGTTGGACAACCATTAGGTTGATTGTGTTATGTGTGTCCAACGTCCTGGTAACACGCACGCCATGCACGGCGCGAGCACGGACGTCGACGTCCCGTTGTGGGCGGCTTCGAAGACACTTCCGCAGCCCCAAGCTCCAACATGGACGTCTGCTCGACTGCTGGTGCCTGGGATGCAACCGACTGCCGCCAGCACGCTCGCAGCCACTCCATCGTCTCCAACCTGAAGCGGGGGCGTTGGATGAGGAGCCCCTGCGTCAGAAAGACAGGGCTTTCACAGACGGTGTCTTGAGAACGCCTTGGGCCGTCTACCTCGCTTCAGCAGGGTCTTGCCGTTGAGCGGGACCTCGTGGACTGGACGAACGACACCTCGTATGCTTAATCTCCGCCCCTGCCACCGCAAACCCGGCTGTGCGGTGCCAGGCCTGGCCCACGGGAGACACTGCCCCGGGCATCGCCTCCGCCGCACCCCGCCGCGCTCGAGCTCGGAGCCCGAGCCCCTCCCCCTCTCCCCTCGGCGGGCGAAGCGGCAGCGCGAAGACCCTGCGCCCCTCGCGTCGCGTCCGCCCGCGGCCGCGGCCGGCCCGCGCCCCGCTCCTCGGAGGGCCCCCGCGCCGCGCGCGGGGGCCCTCCGAGGAGCGGCCCGCGCGGCTTCCGCGCGCCCGCGCGTGGGGGCCCGCGCGCCCCGCGCGGCGCCCTGCGAGGAGCGGGCCGGGCCGCCGCAGGCCCGAGCCGGCCCTCCGAGGGCCGGCGGCGGGGCCCGCGGCGCCCTGCGAGGGCCGCCCGGGGCCCGAGCCGCTTCCCCCCCGGAGGCGGCCACGACGAGGCCCCCACAGGCAGCATCGGGCTCGTGCGGCGGGCTCGCGTCGGGTCGGCCCCGGCGGGGGTCCCGGACGCCGCGGGACGCGCGGTGGCCTGGAAGGATCGGCCGCTTCAGAGAGGCGCCCATGCGTTCAGCGATGAGCCGACTCTGGGATGTTCTGGGGTCGCCGGCGGCGTTCGAAGTGGAACACCGGCGGCGGGGTCACCGGCGGTCGACACGACGCGAACCTACTGTATCCGGGCGAGGAAGATAATCCCCACCCCCACCAGGGAAGCCTTGACCCCGCTGGGCAATCTACCCCCCCCTAGGTGGGGATGGGCGCCGTCTCCTTCGGGTTTCGGAGCACCCATCCCCACCTAGAGAGGGAGAGAGGGTACGCTGGGAGAGCCTACTTACCCTGCCCCAGAGGGGGTGGGGAAGGCTCCGACCAAGGTGATTGTACACCCAGTGCACTCGGCAGGATAGGCACGAACAGATTTTCCAGTCGGCATCGACGTCTGAACAGTCCGCCGTCCTACACCCGTCGCTTCGACGTCTGAAGAGTCCGCCGTCCTACACCCGTGGTCCTGGACAGGGAGAGCCTTGCCGTCAGAAAGTCGACTCCTGGATCGCGCTGAATTGCCGTGCGGTCTCGGCGAACATCGAGATGCACTGAGCTAAAGGCGCTGTCAGTAGGCTAGGCCGGAACTTCCCTATCCGATGCCAGGTTGGCAGAAGTGGGCTCACTGCGTACAATCACTGCTCCACCAGAAGGAGCGCGCAGCACCAGGAGCGGACGGCGTTTCTGTCCGCGGCGAGCCTCCCACGCGAACAGGGGCCCCGGCCCAGACCTGCACGAGGAACGGCAGCCCCTCCTGAGCCGAAAGTGGTCCTCATTTCAGCGCCTTGACTTCTGGTCCACGATGATGGGAGCCTCGGATGTCGGACGTGGTCCGGCGGAGTCTCCTCTCTCCTCCTTAGTCGAAGTTTGTCTGGACTAGTCTGGTTAAGCCCTCTGTTCTGTTCTCCCTCTCCCTCTCGCTCACTCTCTCTCTCTCTCTCTTTCCCCCTCTCTCTCATTACATATGCTGTGATTGCTTTCTCTCTGTCTCTCTTTCTCTCCCCCCCCCAAGGTCGGGGCGGCGGCGCGGGCGTAGCCCCGATGGCGATCGCGCGACGGATAAGGGCGAAGTCACGTAATCTAATATCGGACTAAACCAGACTAAAACCGGACGAAGTTTTATTAATCTAAACAGACTACTTTGGATGAATTTGGAACTAAATCGGACTAAACCGGACTACATTGGACTCATCTGGACAAATGTTGGACTAATTTTGGACTAAGTTGGACTAGTCTGGACCAATCTGCATTAACTTCTGATTAAATTAGACAAATTAGACAAATTTGAATTAATTAGGACTAATTTGGGATCAAATGGGACTAATCTGGACTAATTTTGATTAATTTCGGACTAAATTGCACTGAATCAGCGCCCAGGACAGCGACGGTTGAAACGAGAGGCTCCCATCATGGTGGACCGAACTTGAATGCACCACCGACACTACCTGGCAGGTGTGCAGAGCTTGCTGCCCGCGCGGGTGCCGCGCAGGATGCCCCGGCACGCGGCCCGAAGAAGCGCACACTGACGCCACCCCTGGACCCCGCCCCTGCCCCGCCCCCTCCAGGACGAAGGCAGGATGACTGGGGGCACGGCGACCCCCCTCCCCGACGTTGCTGTGGGAGCCTCGACCGGACAAAACACTGGGGCCGCGCCCGGGGACACGCGATGGGGGGGGTCCTTCCTCGAGAGGGGTGCACCCGAATAGCCCCCCCGGTTGAGCAGGGACCGACCGTCCCGGCATTCCTATAGTCCTACCACGAAATGTTCTTAGAACTCAAAAATGTTCTAAGAACAAAACAATGTTCTTAGAGCATGAGCCCGATGTGTTAAAACAAGACAGACTCCGCCAGAAATGCTCTAAGAACATTTCGTGGAAACCGCAAAAAGGTTCTTAAAACATTGTTGGGTAGGGCTATAGGCGATCCAGGACGCTTCGCCACTGCTTGACCCGGGGGTGAGCGGCCAGTTCCCGGCGGGAGCTCGGGAACCTGGGGAGCCAGATCGCTGGCGACCCTCTGCTCATGCCCCCCACCCAAGACGAAGGGCAGAGCGAGGCCCAATGCGACGATGAGGAGCAACTGGGAATCTCCGAGAAGCGGCGGGCCTGGAGCACGTGCCGAGCGCCGCGGCCAGGGGGAGGGGGAGGGGGAGGGGGAGGGGGAGGAGGAGGAGGAGGAGGAGGAGGAGGAGGAGGAGGAGGAGGAGGAGGAGGAGGAGGAGGACCAGTGTAAGCCCAAGAGGCATCAACGATGTTGGAATTCACCCTCCCTCCAGGCTCCCTCTTCACGGGCCCCATACAGCGGTTCATTTCCATTGAGGGAACTGCCTCGTTGGAAGACAACCGCTTGAAGATCCTGAGGCATGCCAAAACATTGTTCTCAAAATGTCAACGCCACGTATCAACCTGATTGCTGCGTTTTGGCGATCTGGGATCGTGCCATAACGCTTTATTTGTTATTTTCAACACCGCGAATTAACAGAACGGTTGCACCCGCATAATCCTGAATCCTTCCAAAACACCAGTTTGGGTACGCTGATCATGGAAATCCGTGAAGCTCTTGCAAATGTTTAAAACGAATGTGCGCGGCGCTAAGGCGAGAGCCACATTTTGAAAAGGAACCGCCCTCAATACGTGAAACTCTTGCATAAAAAAACGAATGTGCGCAACGCGAAAGCGAAAACCACATTTTGAAAACCACCCGCCCACAATCCGTGAAACTCGTGCAAATTTTGAAAACGAATGTGCGCGGCGCTAAGGCGAGAGACACATGTTGAAAACGACCCCTCTCAACCCGTGAAACTCTTGCAAATGTTTGAAACGAATGTGCGCGGCGCTAAGGCGAGAGACACATTTTAAAAACCAACCGCCCTCAATCCGTGAAACTGTTGCAAATGTTTGAAACGGATGTGCGCGGCGCTGAGGCGAGAACTACATTTTAAAAACCAACCGCCCTCAATCCGTGAAACTGTTGCAAATGTTTGAAACGGATGTGCGCGGCGCTGAGGCGAGAACTACATTTTGAAAACCAGCCGCCCTCAATCCGTGAAACTCGTGCAAATTTTGAAAGCGAATGTGCGCGGCGCCAAGGCGAGAGCCACAATTCGAAAACGACCCGCCCTCCATCCGTGAAGCACTTGCAGATTTCTGAAACGAATGCTCGCGGCGCTAAGGCGAGAGCCACATGTTGAAAACCACCCACGAAAACCACTAAGGTGAGAGCCTCTCTCCACCTGTGAAGCTGCTGCCACGTTTTAAGCTTCAGAATCACCAATGGTGAAGAAGTCTCAGGCGAAACGCCCGGCCCGCCCCAAAAAGTGGCCTCGGGGTGCGACAGGGAGGCGTTATCGAGACGGCGAAGGTGTGGAGGAGAAGGAGGAGTAAGAGGACGAATAGGACGAGGACGCGGAGGAGGATCCCAGAGCTTTCCGGAACGCTCTGAGAGCAGTCCGGAGCGCTCCAGACCGGTTGATCCTCGTCCAGGGCCGCTCGCATGCAATTTGAGCAGGATAGGTGACAGGGAAGGCGCAAGCACACGCGTTCGGAGGTCCGCACGGGCTTCTTCTAAGCAGCCCCGACACGCAACTCGCAGCCCGTAGGGTGTCGACACGGAACTCAGCAGGTAGACTGACTACGCAGGTCTGGCGCTAAACGTTCGCCAAACCTTCGGCCAACACGTGCCCAGCCAACACGCAGCGCGTGAAATCGAACGTTTTGCACACGGTACGCGTTGCGCTTCAACACGGGCGTATTGGTAGGGCAACCAGTCCGACCTAGGCCAGAGGCCAGAATAACACCCCTCAAGCACATGAGATTCTCCGCCGGCCAAAACACACACAGAACATCCAAGGGCACCCTCCCCAGGACGCACAAGAGCACCCGACGAGAACGAAGAGCACGGGGGCACTCTCCCCGAGCCGACCTCGATCTCACACCTCGGTTCGGCTGTAAGGGCTCCTCGTGTCGGCGCTGCGCGAAGCGCGCCAGGGAGCGCCGCTTGAGGCGCCGCCGGGGAGGCTCAGATCGGACCGAAGAAACCCGCGCGACCCTGCGCAGGCTCGTGTCCGTGCGCGCGCCTCTCCTGGTGGTCCGAGGGTCGCGCCGCATCGGCGATGCACGGGTGACGTCGGGGTGGACGAGATCTCTTCCTCCTCCTCCTCCTCCTCCTCATCCTCCTCCTCTTCCTCCTCTTCCTCCTCTTCCTCCTTCTCCTCCTAATCCCCCTCCTCCTCCCCCTCCTTCTCCTCCTACTCCCCCTCCTCCTCCTCCTCCTCCTCCTCCTCCTCCTCCTCCTCCTCCTCCTCCTCCTCCTCCTCCTCCTCCTCCTCCTCCTTCCTCCCCCTCCTCCCCCATTCCCCCCCATCCTCCGCTCTCCGTCCCCTCCTCTCTCCTCCTCCTCCTCCTCCTCTCTCCTCATCCCTCCTCCTCCTCCTCCTCCTCCTCCTCCTCCTCCTCCTCCTCCCCTCCTCCTCCTCTCCTCCTCCTCCTCCTCCTCCTCTCCTCCCCTCCCCCTCCCCTCCCCCATCCCTCGCCTCCTCCTCCTCCTCCTCCTCCTCCTCCTCTTCCTCCTCCTCGTCCTCGTCCTCGTCCTCGTCGTCGTCCCCTCGTTCTCGTCGTCATCGTCGTCGTCGTCGTTGTCCTCGTCGTCGTCGTCGTCGTCGTCGTCGTCGTCGTCGTCGTCGTCGTCGTCCTCGTCGTCGTCGTCGTCGTCGTCGTCCTCGTCCTGGTTCTCGTCGTCGGCGCCCCTGCGCTGCGCTGCGGCGGCAGCGGCGGCGAGGCGCAAGGGGCGCGCCTCCCCCGGCTGGCACTGCAGCCCCCGCGGGAAGCGCGCCAGGGGCGCGCGGAAGACGTGGCGAGCCTCGCGGGCCGCGGCGGCACCGAGGCTCGACGCCATCGAGGGTCGAGGTTCCAAGATCCTCGATCATGGATCGACAACGTCTAGGATCCAGGATCCAGGATCAAGGATCGACGACGTCTAGGATCGACGACATCGAGGAGCCAGGACAGAGGATCCAGGATCGGGGATCGAGGATCCAGGAGATCCCCGATGCAGGGCCTGGGACCGAGGACCGGTGTATCGAAGGCCTGGCGTCTTCAGGATCGAAGATTCGAGGGCCGCTGCTGCGCCCTCATGTTCGATATTCGTCGTCGTCCTCCTTCACATATTCCCCGTGCTGCTGTTCTGGCCATGCTGATGTGCAAGGTTGCTGTCGCTTCCGCTTAGCCGTCCGCTTCTCCTCGCACGCTTCCTCCTCCCAGTGATCGTGATAACCATGTTATTATTATTCCTCTTCCTCATCGCAATCATTCGACTATTCCACTTCATCCTTATCGTCATCATCATCCCCAGCCGCTACTCTCACTCCCTCTATCTCCTTCTCCTCCTCGCCCTCCTGCTCCATTTCCTCCTTCCCCTCCTCCTGCTCCTCCACCTCCTCCTCGCATTCCTCCTTCTCTCCCTCCTTTCAACTCCTCTCCCCAACCCACTATCCTCCGGCATCTTCTTCCCTCATGCTCATCGTCGTCGCTGTCGTCGCCCTCCGCCTCGTTCGCATCCTCCTCCAGCCCATGGCCCTCGTGATGTATCGTCATGCAGGTCCTTTGTTCTCCCCTTACCCATCCTGGTCCGCCAGATTCCCCTCGCGCGGCCAGCTGCCCTCTCTCTATGTCTTCCTTTCTTTCTTCATTTCTTTTTTTTTGTTGTTCTCTCTCTCTCTCTCTTTCTCTCTCTCTCTCTCTTCCTCTCTCCCGCTGGATTGACACATATTCCTATGTATATATTTTTACAGGACCGGGGACCCCACAAAAGCGGCCCCCCCCCCCCAAACGAATTTCGGCCTCCCCGAGCCTCTGGGGCGCTCCTGCAGAGTGCTTCCGTGGATCTCCGGTCCTCCTGGACCCCCCAGGCAGGTCTGTCCTGCGAGTCCGACGCGAAAAAAGAAGCCCCCACGACGGCCAAAGAGGGCCCCGAGACACCCAAAGATCGGCCCAAGACGCCCAACATGGGCCCAAGACTGCCCAACAGGCCTCCAAGACGGCCCAAGAGACCCCCAAGAGGCCTCCCAAGAGAGCCCCGAGAGGCTGAAATGGTTGATTTCCCAATGTGTTTTTCTATGTTTTTGGCCTTCTCGCTTTTTCCGCTTCCCCACGCTCCAACACGGCCCAAGGGGCTCCCTAGATCGCCCCAGTACTGCCCAAAAGGCCCCCAAGAAGGCCCCAACACGGTCCAAGAGGGCTCCGAGACCGCCCAAGAGGCGCCCAAGGCGGCCCAAGAGAGCACCAAGACGGCCCCAAGAGAGGCCCAAGAGGGCGCCCAAAAATTCAAAACTGAGCTTTCCGCCGCGAGAAGGCCCCGAGAGGCCCCAAGAGGGTCCCATGAGGCCCCAAGAGGCCCCCCAGAGGCCCCAAGGAGCCCCCAAGAGGTCCTCAAGAAGCCCCAAAAAGATCCCAAGAGGCCCACAAACAACCCCCAAGAGGCTTCAAAACAGCCTCCCAAAGGCCCCCGGGAGGCGCACCACGAGTTCCCAACACGGCGGTCTCCTCCTCTCATTATCCCTTCTCTTTGTCGTCGCATTCTTCGTCGTCGTCGTTGTCCTCGTCCCCATCCTCTTCCTCGTCTTCCTCGTCTTCCTCCTCCTCCTCCTCCTCCTCCTCCTCCTCCTCCTCCTCCTCCTCCTCCTCCTCCTCCTCCTCCTTCTCCTCACCCTCTCAAGCTCTTCTGGTTCAGCTCAATCGGCACAGGACTGAGGAGGAGAAACAGGAGGAGAAGCAGGAGGAAGGGTGGGAAAGAAACGGGCACAGGAGAATACGAGGACAAATAGAACGAGGAGCACTTTCGCGTGCGACTTCACGCAAGTCTAAAATCAGGGATGCCCTGAGCAGAGGTGTTCAGACCACTCCTCGCTTGAAACTTCCTCGCCCGGCTGACTTCGGATATGCCCTCCCCTGAGCGGAAGTGTTCAGGCCATTTTCACCCGGGACGTCCTGGCAACACTGACCTCGGCGACGCACTGTCCCACGGTAGTCTGACCACGTTTGCCTGAGACCCTCGCGCCTTATAGTGGCGCGATGATATGAGCACCTGGTCAGGCCACTACCGCCTGATATACGCATGTGTGTGCGCACACATAGTTACACTGACCATTAGCATATACATGTACATATCCATACAAACGTATACATATATGTACATATGTACTATGCATTCATAGACGCATGTGTGCGCGCATGTACGCACGCTCGCACTCCGCTAGCGTGCGAATGCCAAAGGACCAAGGTGCATGGCGCGCAGCGCCAATGCAGTCTTGTATATATATATATATATATAAATAAATAAATAAATAAATGAATTCACAACACACGCACACGTACATAACACATAATGACATATTTCTACGAAAGAGCGCGTTTTGTGGTCGCTCGGAGGGGGGGGGGGCGTTGGAACCGGACCCGGGGTTCGAACCCCCCTGCGCCCCCCCCTTCCGCGACGGAAAGGGGGGGCCGAACCCCCCCCCTCCTCCCCTACTTCTCCTCTCCCTCTCCTCGGACCCGCGCCTGCGTCGGCGGCGGCTGGCGGCGGCGGCGGGGACGACCACTTCCTTTTCTGGGCCGGCGCCGGCGCCTGCGGCGGCGGGCGGCGGCGGCGGGGGGCGTCGACGAGGACAACGGTGGTGGTGGTTGTGGGTTGTGGCGATGGTTGTGGTGGTGGTGGTGGTGGTAGTGTGGCGGTTTGTTGCGGTGGTGGTGGTTGTGGTGGTGGGTGGTGGTGGTGGTGGTGGTGATGGTGGTTGGTGGTGGTGGGTGGTGGTGGTGGTGGTGGCGGTGGTGGTGGTGGTGGTGGGGCTGTGGTGGTGGTGCTGGCTTGGTGGTGGTGTGGTGGTGGTTTGTGGTGGTGGTGGTGGTGGTGGGTTTGTGGTGTGAGTTGTGGTTTGTGGAGGTGTGTGGTGGTGGTGGTGGCGGTGGTGGTGGTGGTGGGTTGTGGTGGTGGTGGTGGTGTGTTGTGCTGCTGGTAGTGGTGGTGGTTGTGGCGGTGGTGGTGGTGGTGTGGTAGATTGTGGTGGTGGTGGAAGTGGTGGTGGGTTTTTGTCGTGGTGGTGGTTGTGGTGGTGGTGGTGGGTTGTGGTGGTGGCGGTGGTTTGTGGAGGTGGTGGTGGTGTGTTGTGCTGCTGGTAGTGGTGGTGGTTGTGGCGGTGGTTGGTGGTGGTGTGGTAGATTGTGGTGGTGGTGGAAGTGGTGGTGGGTTTTCGCCGTGGTGGTGGTGAGTTGTGGTGGTGGTGGTGGTTGTGATGGTGGTGGTGGCTGTGGTTGTGGTGGTGGTGGTTGTTGTGTTGTGGGTTGGTGGTGGTGGTGGAGTGAAGTGGTGGTGGTGGTGGTGGTAGTGGTGGTGGTGGTGGTGGTAATCGTCGCTGCGTCCCCGCCGGCGCCGGCCCGGGGGGGGGGGTGGAACCCTCCCCCCTCCCCCCTTGGGCTGCTTCGAGGTGGTCATCGTCGCTGCGTCCCCGCCGTCGGCGCTGCTGGCGGCCGCCAGCGCCGGCGCCGGTGCTGGGGGTGGGTGGGTGGTGGTTTGGACCCCCCCCCTGGGCTGCCTCTGGTCATCGTCGCTGCGTTTCCGCCGTCGGCGCTGCTGGCGGGCGCCAGCGCCGGCGCCGGCGCCGGCGCCCGGGGGGGGTTTGAACCCCCCCACACCCCTTTGAAGGGGGGGGGGATTCGGGAAGGGGCGGGGTTGGGGGGGGAGAGGAGTCCCCCCTGGTTCTGATCGACGGCGCTGAGTGTTGGGGGGGGGCCACCCCCTGGTTCGAAACGCGCCGCCGAATGTTCCCAAGGCAAGCGCCCGTGAAACGCGCCCTCTCCTTTCTACGTGCGTATCAGATGTGCGTGGAAAGATGGTCTTGCATGGCATGTCCGCTTTCGTGGACGCCTGGGGAAAGCTGGGCATTCGCATATAGTGAAGAAAAATGGGCCTCAGGAGAACACGCACGGGCCGTTTTCGGCTGGAGGCCCTCGAGCCACTGGCCGACGCCAGTAGACGTCGAATGCACTTCTCGAGAGCAGCCAGCCTCTTCTCAGTACGCTGGCGGGCCATGGGCAAGCGGGCCGAACTGCGGCTCTTGGGGAAACTGGCTGAAGTGCCTGCAGAGCTTCGCGAGCCGCTCTGCTGCCTGCCGTGGGCTACCGTTGGCGAAGTTGGCCATTGGATCCGCCAGGGCTTCACAGTGTCACTTGAAGCCAAAGCACTGCTCATCTCAGCACATGACCGAACCCATGCTGGCCTGGCCCCTGCGTGCGAGGCGTACTAACGCTTGAGCCAAAACGGCTACGGACAGGGATGGTGCAAGAAGTTGGGGGTCGTAAGCGGGATGCTTGGGGCTGGAGCCGCGAAGGGGGGTGGGGCCGCGGGGGCACTTTGAATTATCTTAGAAGGCCCAGAGCGGGCTACAGCTGAGATCACGTATAGGCATGTAGGGATGCGCAGCAATGACAGACCTTCAGGAAATTATCATGATAATGCTCTGACGGCGATACGGATCACGACAACGACGATGAGGACGCAAAGGTCCCTTGAATGATCAACTCGCCCTTCATGAAGTCTGCACGGTCCTCCTCCTAACCCCCCGGGGTCTGACGGGGCCCGACGGGCCTGCTCGAGGTACAGGCGAGCCGCCGTGGGGGACGGTGCCAAGAAGCGCCCTCGAGCAACGAGCTTCCTTAGGAGAACGAAGAATGACATAACCAGAAAAACTCGGAGGTCCGCGCGGATTTCTCGGATCGGCGCTGGACCCCCCCTCCATGGCGCGCGGAGCGCGCAAGGGGCGGCGCCAGAGGCGCCGCCAAGGGGGTCCAGCGCGGATCCGAGGAACCCGTGCGGACCTCCGAGCTTTTATGCTTATATCATTCTTCCCTCCCCTATTCCTGGCTCCCCCGAGTGCCAAAATGTTTTTTTTTTCCAGCGCATCTTTTGGAGAGGGGAAGGGGGAGGCGAAAGGAGAGGGCGCGACGACGAACCTGCCGATGCTCTCGTCTGTTTGGTCAGCGCGGGGGGCACATCCCCCGAGTGCCAAAATGTATGGAGAGCGCGCTCGGCGGCCGCCCTTGGCAGGCCCCAACGCCGCAGACCGGCGCCCACGGGGCGCCCGCGCGGCGCGGAGGACCCGGCCGCGGGGCGCCCACGGGGCGCGCCGCGGGCGGGATCGCGGCGGCGCCTCGCCCAGGCCCGCCCGCGGGGAGGGGGCGGGGGGCACCCGCGGGGCACCGGCGGGGCGCCCACGGGCGTGTCTCCACCTCTCTCCCCCTCTCCCTCGCTCGCTCTCTCCCCCTCCCCCTCGAGTCTCGCCGCCCTCTCTGGAGGGACTTGACTCTTGCGACTGGCTCCTCCTCCTCCTCCTCCTCCTCCTCCTCCTCCTCCTCCTCCCTTCTCCCTCCCTCCCTTCCTCCCTCCCTCCTCCTGCTACTCCTCCCTCCTCCCTCCCTCCCTCCCTCCCTCCCTCCTTCTCGATCGCCCCCCGTCCTACGCACATCCCCTGGCCCATGGCGGGAGGAGCGCCAGCACGCAGTCCACGAAGCTGCGCAGCGCCACGGCGACGGGCGGGTTGTCGCTGCGAGTGGCGATGGCGGTGCGCGCCAGCATCTCGGCGACGAGGGACGACGACGACGACGGCAACCACGACGACGACGACGACGACGACGACGACGACGACGACGACGACGACGACGGCAAAGACGGCGGCGGCGGCGACGACGACGACTGCCAATGACAACGACAACCACGACGACGACGATGAAGACGACGACGGCGACGGCTGTCAACGACGACGACGACGAAGGCGACTGTCAACGACGACGCCAACCACGACGACGGCGAAGACGACGACTGTCGACGACGACGACAACCACGACGACGACGACGAAAACGACGACAACGGTGAAGACGACAGCTGTCAACGACGACATCAACAATTACGACGACGACGACAACGACGACGACAACGACTGTCAGCGACGACGCCGACGACGACGACGACGACGACGACGGCGGCGACGACAGCTGTCAACGACGACAACGACAATTACGACGACGACGACAACGACGACGACAACGACTGTCAGCGACGACGCCGACGACAACGACGACGACGACGACGACGACGGCGTCGTCAACGATGACGAAGACGACGTCGACGACGGCGGCGAGGACGACAACGACGACGACAGCTGCCAACGACAACGGCGGTGGCGACGACGACGACGACAGCTGTCAACGACGACGACAACCACGACGACGACGACTGCCCACGACGACGACGACCACGACGACGACGACAACGACGACGAAGACGACGACGACGACGACGACGACGACGACGACGACGACGGCGGCGGGGACGACGACGACAGCTGACAACGACGACGGCAAAGACATGACAGCTGGCAACGACAACGACGACATCCACGACGACAACGACGACGACGACGACGACGACGACGACGACGACGACGACGACGACGACGGTGGCGATGACGACTTCGAAGATAACGACGACGACGACGACGACGACGACGACGACGACGACGACGACGACGACGACGACGACGGCGTCGTCGACGGTCGACGAGCGCTGCCGACGACGGCGTCGGCACCCGAGGGAACGGCCGACGGCGGCGATAGCGACCGGCGAGGACGACCGACGGGAGCGATGACGACGGCGACGACAACAACGGAGACGACGACGACAACGACGACGGCGACGGCGACGACTGTCAACGCTGATCGTCGACGAGGGCTGTCGACGATGGCGGCGGTGGTGATGAGGAAGACGAGGAATGAATGAATGAATGCCCTTCCTGGTCCCATATGTCTCTGCTCTGCTGCTAAGTGTGCTCTACAGCGTGCGCTAGTGCATCGATCGGACGAAGACGTGCTGCAAAATCGGCTGGAGTTCGGCCTACTCGACAAAAAATCTGCCAGGCCATCGAACCCACCGACCCGACACTCCGAACCTCCAAAAGGGCCTATGGAGCCTAGGAGGTCAGAGCAGGGCAGGGACACCGCCTCGTGACCCAGCCTGCTCGGGCCCGAAACTGGGGGCACCCACACTCGAGGCATCCGACAGTGGGCAGGAAGAGCCCGCCCCATACTCGGACGCCGCGGCGGAGTTGCCATCAGCCTCGACGACGAATTATATCTCGACGAGCGCTCTGTGCTCGAGCGTGCCGATCGAGATACACTACTTCACGCATCAGAGGAGGAGGAGGAGGGGCGAGAAGAAGCACTCATCATGCCCGAGCAGGAACAATCATGGGCCCCTCCGATTTCTTGTGGAGAAGCACAGAGAATGAATGGGTGTGCCGCGGCCCCTCTCAATCGGCTCGGGCCCACGGGCTAGGAAGACGAGGAGGGGGAGGAGGGGGAGGAGAACGAGGAGAAACGGAGACGAGGAGGAGGAGAAGGATAAGGATATTCGGCCAGGAAGCTCCAGGGCCTCCAGCATACTCTTCTACCAATTCGGAAGTGTCTTTTGATGCTTGGAGCCTCTGGGGATCACAAGGAAATGAGGAGAGGTTGAGGACGACACCTGCGGCGACGACGAGTTGAGACGAACAGGAGTAGAACGAGGATGATGAAATTTACAACACGAAGATAGGGGAGGAAGGGAAACAGGTGTATACTAGGCTGGCAGCGTTCATCACCGAAGCCCTAATGCCACTAGTACCAGTGCCAAGTCGATGCTACATTTAGCCCTGGAGGAGCCGCAGATGTTCGCACTCACTGTCGGCAGTGTTGCCCTCACTGTAGGCAACGACTCCCCGTTCGTCTCTGAACCTCGACGTGCTGCACCCTGAATAGGATAAAGCTGGCCACCCGTGATGCCTGAGCCACGGCGGCGGCGGCGAAACGTTGAGCTCTGCAGCTGCGGGGCTGGTGGAGTCGAGGGCCAGGAGGACGCCAGCTGTGCACGGGTCGGCTACACGCAAGAGTGACCCTGGGCAAGAGTGACCTTTGGTGCGCGGCTTTTGGGGGGCCGCGGGGTGACCAACCACGGGCGCGCAAGACGCTACTGTAGCCTCGCGTTCGGCGATCGGGGGGCCACAATGTGCCCGCACCAAGGGTCACTCCAGCGAAAAGTGACTCTTACGTGTAGTCGAACTGGCTCCAGTCCTGGCCAGGCCCATCCCGGGCCCGGCCTCCGCCTGCAGCCAGTGTGCTGCCATAGGGGAGCGCCAGGCGATGAACACGGAGGGGCCTCTCGGGCAACGGCGAGCCTCTCGGCCACGACGAGGCTCCCCGGCGTGGATCTGGGCAAGCGGCCCGAAAACAAATGGCCCCTCCTGAAGCCCGAACTGGTCCTCACTTCAGCGTCCGGACGGCCGCCTCCGATGATGGGCGTGCTTTCCACCACCACCACCACCACCACCACCACCACAATAAGTTGGAGGGAGTCCTCCTCCTCCTCCTCCTCCTCCTCCTCCTCCTCCTCCTCCTCCTCCTCCTCCTCCTCCTCCTCCTCCTTCCCCCCTCCAACTTAGGGTGGTGGGGGTGGAGAACGGGCTCGTCCTCCGAGCTGCCTTCGTCGGGCGGGGGCCCGAGGCGGGCACGTGGCCTCGCAGCCCTCGAGGGGAGCGCCGCGCGGCGGCGCCGCGCCGGGGAGGAGGCACAGGCGCGCGGCACTGCCGATCTCCTGCGGCCGAGCCCTGCTGAGCGCGGCAGTGCGCGGCGCAGCGGGGGGGCCCCGTGGGTATCCCGGCCCTCCTCGCGCCACCGCTCGGGCGGCCGTCCCCCCGCGTGCACCTTGCTCGACGTCGTGCGCGCCCCTCCTCGCAGGAGGGTCCGAGGTGCGCCGCGAGGGCCGCCGCCGAGAAGAAAAGAATGCGCGCGTCCGAGCGATGCCAAGTCCCCACCAGCCCGCGGAAACTCAGGCTCGGGAGCTCCAGCGGGCACCGGAGGACGGCGGCCGCCTGGGACGTCGCCACCAGCAGCGACGCGCGCGCCCGCATCTGGTCCACCGGGTTGCCCTACAGCGCGCCAGGCAGCCAAGCCGTTCGACTGCGAGCTGCGGTGTCGATCAGCACGCAGAGCGCGTGCAGCACGGACGACAGGCATGCGAAGAACGGCAGAGGGGCACTCAATCACTCCTGCCATACGCCGGAGCGCGTGGGCGACAAGAAGACAGAACCAGCCTATTCTCACCGCGTTGCGGGAGCGGCGGCACGACGGCGGTCGCAGAAATCACAACGTGCACGGCAGAGGGAAACACACGATAAACGCCAGCGCCCAGCAGCGACCAGGAGCTCAGCAGGACATGGAGAGACCACATCACCACAGGCCGCCACGAGTTCAGCACCAGCGAATCTGCCCGACTCTGGGTCGACGTCGGCGTGGAGCTGCCTCGAGCAGCCGCTGGCGCATCAGCGCCACGATCTCCTGCCAGGCCACACCAGAGCCACAAGTGATGGGCCGATTTTCCACCGCCACTACCAAAGGCAGGATAGGGAGGAGGAGGAAGAGGAGGAGGAGGAGGAAGAGGAGGAGGAGGAGGAGGAGGACCTCCCTATCCTCCCTCGCCATGCACGTGGTCGTGGTGGTGGAAAGCCAGACATGCGACGTCCTGATTTTTTCAGGACGGTGTCCCCGCAAGTCCCGACCCTTTCCCCAGGGCCGGGTTTTCGTCCCGAGTCGATTTATTTGACGCTCCCGAGGCCCGGCGAGGGCACGCGGGGGCCGAAAATGGCCCAAAACCTCCCGCCCTGATTCTTTTACGACGCCCTCATGTCTGGGGTCGTGGTGGTGGAAAGCTGGTCCCCCGACAAGCCCCACTGGAGGCTCATCGGCCCGGGCGGGCCGGCCGGGCACGCACCGGCAGAGGAGGACGAGCTCGGCTCCGTCGCCCTCGCGGCAGCGCCAGGGTGGCGTGCAGGCTGGAAGCGGAGGGGCCCGAAGCGCAGACTCACACCAACACCATGCAGTCGATGTGCCTCCTCCTCCACCTCCTCCTCTTCCTGCTCCTCCACCTCCTCCTCCTCCTCCTCCTCCACCTCCTCCTCCTCCTCCACCTCCTCCTCCTCTCCTCCTCCTCCTCCTCCTCCTCCTCCTCCTCCCTCCTCCTCCTCCTCTCCTCTCCTCCTCTCTCCTCCTCCTCCTCCTCTTCCTCCTCCTCCTCCTCCTCCTCCTCCTCATTGGAAGCGGAGGGGCCCGGAACGCAGACTCACACCAGCACCATGCAATCGATGCGTGTGCCCAGACATGATGGCGTCGTAAAAAATCAGGGCGGGCGGTTTTCGGCCGTTTTCGGCCCTGGGGGGCCCTCGCCGGACCTCGGGAGCGTCAAAAAACGACTTGGGACGAAAAACGGGTCCCGGGGAAAGGGTCGGGACCTGCGGGGGGACGCCGTCCTGAAAAAATCAGGACGTCGCATGTATGGGTGTGTGAGTGTCCTATGGATACCTCGGCGCGCCGTCGTGTGCCACAGCGCTGTGCTGCTCCGTTCCGCGGCTCAAGAAACACAAGTTTCGGCTGTTAGTGCAGTTGCAAGCCCTCTCCTTGTGGTCGTGCCCTCCGTGGTCGCGCTTCCTTTTGTCACCTCTCTCGGCCGGCAGGGGCGGGAGCGCTGAACGCTTGCATTCGTCATGAATCTGCTAGACGCAAGAGTGACCCTGGGCGAGAGCGACCTCTGGTGCGCGGCCTCTGGGGGCCACACTGGGGCCGAATCCGGGCGCGCAAGCCGCTGCCATCGCCTCGCACTCGGCGCACTTCGGGGATCCCGGGGGGGCCCACTGGGCCCGCACCAAAGGTCACTCTGGCGAAGTGCCACTCCTACGCTCCCACGTGCACCCAGCGGTTGGGAGAAGCAGGTAGAAGCATGAGGCAGGCAGGCGTTGAAAGTGGACAGGGTTCCGATCGCCCCCTGAGGAGGACGGCAAAGGTGAAGCCCCTCGATCATTGAAGCAGGAAGGCGCTCATGAAAGCAGACTGGCCTCCGGGAAGTCCCAGAGAGACCCACTCCCAATCCAAGAACACCCGCTTCCAACGACCGATGGGTCGCCGACCTGTGCTCTCCTTCAAAGGGCGCTGGGCCGCGCCGGGCCCGCCGAGCCATCGCCGGCGCGGGCCGCCACCGCCCGCGGCGGAGGGGGCAGGCGCGCGAGGAGCCGCGCGCGAGGGCGGCGCACCGCCCGCCGGCGCCCAGCAGCGCGGGAGGCCCGGGCGTGGGGTCCGCAGGGCTGCTCGGTTGGGGGGGGGGGGAGGTCAAGGGGTCCTGGAAATAGACAAGCGCGCTCCACGGCTCGCGGAGGAGCTCTACTCGCACATGGCCCGGATCCGCCGCGGGAGGTGCGCGAGGCATGCCATGGAGAGGCAGACCTGTTCTTCTGCGGATGTCTGCGGGTAGGCGCGTCGCGGTGGAGCGCGCTCGGTCCTGGAGGCCTTCCACCGATCTCTGGCCCAGGGCGAAACTGGGCGCCGCAGGCGTTCCGCCGCCTTCGCGCCCTGGAGGAAGAGGGGGGCCTGGACGAACGGGGTCTTCCAGGAAAGAGGCCCTGGGCCGCCCTGGGGCAGAGGGTCGTCTGGAGGGTTGCCGCCGGGCTCGGGCGCCCGGGGCCTCTCCGCGGGCCCCGGGCTCGTGGGAGCAGCGGGCCCAGCAGAGGCGGTCCACGGGGACCTGGGCCCGGCTCCCTCGGGGGCCCCTCGCGTCCTTCGCTGCCTGGGAACGGCTGGGCGGGCGGTGCTGCCAGTGGCGCGCAACACATTTCGTTGCATCTGCGCGCGCAGAAGGAAGAACCTGATGTCCGCGACCACTTTCGAAGGCCCGCGCAGACCTTCAAAATTCGTTACGTGAACACCGAGGCTTCTTCGTTGAACGCGGTGTCAGTCCGCTCGTGCCATGGCCCGTGCGCGCTGGGCCCGCGGGGGACCGCGCCAGCTCGCAACGCTCGCGCACCCAGCAGGGAGGTCGCCGCAAGTGGCGCTGGGCTTCCCGAGAACGTCGGGCACTGCCCGCATGATGCGAGCCGCGCCGAGGCACCCTATGGAGCGAGAGCGATCGCCACGCCAAGGCACGAGCCTGAGGAAAAGTGGCCACGGAGGACAGGGATGATGATGCTGCTGCTGGTGATGATGATGATGATGATGATGATGATGATGATGAGGAGGAGGAGGAGGAGGATGATGAGGATGATGATGATGATCCTGATGATGATAATGATGGGGAGAAGGATAATGAGGAGAGGCATGAAGAGGAGGAGAACGAGGAGAGGGAGGGGGGACAGAGGTGAAGTAGGAGGATAAGCTGGAACCGATGACTAGGAGAAGGACCACTAGGAGGAGGAGGACGAGGAGGAGAACAGGGGGAAGGGAGGATGAGGACGGCGAGCACGAGGCAGAAGAGTAGAACCCGCAGGAGGCCGACGAGGACGAGGAGGACGAGGACAACGACGAGGACGAGCACGAGGAAGAAGACGACGACGACGAAGAGAACGAGGACGACGACGAGGACGAGGATGAAGCGACGACGAGGACAGCGAGGCCGGCCTCTATGAACTGGGGCCTGGTGATCGGGGCGCCCTCGATCGCCTGCTGGTGGGCGATCTCGGTCCGCCTCGGGGCGCGGCCCGGCGCGGCGCCCCGCCGCCGCGCCTTCGGCGTCGTCCGCGTCCTCGTCGTTGTTCCCCCTCTTCCTCCTCCTCCTCCTTCTCCTCGTCCTCCTCCTCCTCCTCCTCCTCCTCGTCCTCCTCTTCGTCCCCCTCCTCTCCTCCTCTTCCTCCTCCTCCTCCTCCTCCTCCGCTTCCGTCCCTTCTCCCCCCATCCTCGTCCTCCTCATCCTCCTCGTCTTCGTCGTCCTCCTCCTCCTCCTCCTCCTCCTCCTCCTCCTCCTCTTCCTCCTCTTCCTCCTCCTCCTACCATCCTCGTCCTCGTCCTCCTCCTTCTCCTCCTCCGCGTCCTCCTCTTCCATCCCTTCTCCTCAGTGTCTGCCGGCGTGGGCCCCAAAGTAGTGAGCCATCACTCTCGGAGTGCAAGCCGGGTGGTGCAAGCTAGGCCGCAGGCCACGTAGCGAATCCGTGGCATACCCGCACAGCGCACGAGGTGGCAACGGGCGGCAGCAGCGGGCGGCCGCGTGGCGAATCCTCGGGACACCCGCACGACGCACGGGGCGGCAACGAGACGGCAGCGGAGGGCAAGGTGGCGAAAATGAGGCGGCAGCGCGGCAAAACCTCGGCGGGCCCGCCTAGCGCGGTGGGCGGCAGCGCGGCGGGCACGGTGTGAAACCTCGGCGGATCCCCCGAGCACGGGGGGGGGCGGCAACGAGGCGGCCACGGGCGGCCGCGTGGCGGCGCCGCGCGCCTGCGACTTGAGAATGGGCAGCACCTTCGAGCATGGAGGGCGGTTTGCTTTCAGAGTGGAGCTCTCGCCTCAGCGCCGCGCACACTCGTCTTCGCAGCCTGCAGGAGCTTCAGGGGCGAAGGAGGGCAGTTCTCAAAATGGAGCTCTCGCCTTCGCGCCGCGCACGGTCGTCTTAGAAGCTTGCGACAGCTTCAATGATAGAGGGCGGCTCCTTTACCACATGCGGCTCTCGCCTTAGCGTTTCGCACATCCGTCTTAAAAGTTCACAGCAGCTCAAGGGTGGACGGCAGCTCCTTTTCAAAAGGTCTCTCTCGCCTTGGCACCGCGCGTTGTCAATTGCAACATTATGAAACCAGTTCAATGATGGAAAGCAATTCCAATGCACAAATGGGCTCCCACCTTGGCGCCGCACGCATTCGCCTTACAAGCATACAGCACTTGCAAGGCTGGTGGGCGGCTCCTTTTTCAAGGTGGGTTTCCGCGGGCGACTCATCGGAAATTTGATGTTAGCCAGCGTGGGCACCAAACAGTGTCTCTAGCAATCTAGGTCGTGCAATCTATGTGGAGCAATTCACTTTGCCTTTCTTGAAGCTGTCCGCCACGGCTCGTGCAAACATCCCACCCTCCCACCCGCAACTTGGCCGCAAGACTTCGTAAGACCGTGACGGCGGGTACCACATGGCACTTGGCAGCGGCAGCGACGCCGACGACGATAGGCAGAACGACGACGACGAGGACGCCGACGACGACTAAGACGACACCGGCGACGTCTCCGACGACCTCGACGACGACGACAACGACGACGACGACGACGGCGACACCGACGACGACGACGCCGACGCCGACGACGACGACGATGACGACGCCGACGACGACGACGACGACGGCGACGACGGCGGCGACGACGACGACGACGACTACGACGACGACGACGACGACAACGTCGCCAACGAAGACGACGACGACGAGGGAGGAGGGAGGACGACGACGGCGACAACGACGACAACGACGACGGAGGAGTGCGGACGGCGACGCCGACGACAACGACGAGGGAGGAGGGAAGACGACGACGACGACGACGGCGACGAAATAGGAGGGACAACGACGAGACGCCGACGACGGACGACGACGACGACGACGAGGGAGGAGGAAGGACGACCACGGCGACAACGACGACGGAAACGACGACGACGCCAAAGAGGACGACGACGACGAAAGACGGAGAAAGACGACGGCGACGACGACGACGAGGGAGAAGGGAGGACGACGACGACAACGACGCAAGAGCGCGCGCGCACGCTTTTGTTGAACATCCGTGTTGTATGTTTTTTGGACACTCAATTTTGAAATCCTTCCGAACCGAAGGTTTTTGACACATTTCGGCATGCGCGCGCGACGACGCGCGCGCGCGTGCACTTCTTCCCGTTTTCTGCAGAGGATTCTCGCGACGGCACGCGCGCAAGGGCGTCGAACGATTTCGACATGCGCGCGCGCGAAGCCCGTTTGGTAGTATGTTTTGAAAATGCTGAAAACCGAAGGTTTTTTTTAAGGTCTCGCAAGAGCGCGCGTGTAAGCTTTTTTAAAAGCATCTATGTTGCGAAACCATGTGAAATTCTATGTTGTTTGGAGCTCGGTTTTGAAATCCTTCCGAAACCGAGGGTGTTTGAAGGATTCCGGCATGCGCGCGCGACGATGCGCGCGTATAGTTCGCTATATATGTGGCAAGGGATCTTTTGAAAATTTCTCACTTTTGATAAACGAATGCGCGCATAGAATTTGTTGCAGAGGATGGCGGGGAGGACCTATACCGGTTTGGCTGGGATAATATGAACCCACGGGTAGGATGGACACTGGGTCAGAATATGTCAGAATCCTATGTGTGTTGCATCGGTTCCCGGGGGATCTTTAACCCATGGGGGGGGAAGGTGGTAAAAAACACTTTTTTATTAGAAATGAGAATTAATTAACCGCGCTGCACCTCGCGTGACCACTTCCCATGCTCGTGCAAACATCCCACCCTACCGCCCGCATCTTGGTCGGCAAAGCTCATAAGGTCGCGACTGCAGTTGCAGCGTGGAGCCCGTCCACATATTTCAGCGAGCTCAATGGCGCGCGGACCCTCGCGGCGCGGGCGAAATCCATCTTGCGGGGGACAGCGCGGACGGCAGCGTCGACAAACGACGATGAGATGGTTGGCAGAAGTCAGAAGGCCGCGAGTGCAGTTGCAGCGTGGAGCTCCTCCGATAATTTCATCGCGTTCATTGACGCGCGGACGCTCGTCGCGCGGGCCAACTCCATTTTGCGGGAGACGGCGCGGACGACGGCGTCGACAAACGACGATGAGAATGATCGCGGCGTTTCCGACGGCAATGGCGACGATGACGGTGCCCCGCATGGTATTATGCGACAGGGAACATGCCTCTGGCAAGCGCGCGAGGGCATTGTAATAAGTTCGACGCGCGCTCGCGGAGGCCTCCTTGGACTGGGAAGTTGAAACAAAAAGGAAACAACAACCAAAAACAAATGCGTTGCCTAGGAACCCGCAAGGGCGTGCGGGATGTCACGTTGAAGATTTGTTGCTGGAAAGCAAATGGTCGGTTTATGTTTTTACGTTGACATCGCCACGATACCAAAGGTTTTCGCCGGATTTCGTCTTGCGCGCGCATGTGGCCCGCAGGGTATTATTTCAAATGGATTCGCGTATTCAGTCCATCTTAGATCAACGCACGCACCGCATGGTACTATTTGACAAGGATGGGGGGGGGACCCGATGCCGGGACTAACAGGGGCGGCTTGAACTCAGATGGGAATCAATGGGAAGGCAAAATCGAATGTAAATTGCAATTCCCCAGGGGGAGTGGCAATCTGGGGGGGGGGGGTAATATGTTTTGAAGGGAATTTACGTAGCGACCACATGTGGTGCAATCTACGCGGTGCATTTGATTTCTGCGAGTTGACACATTCCACGCTCTTGCAAACATCCCACCCACCCACCCGCGAGTTGGTTTGCAAAACCCACGCGGCGGCGATTGCGATGAGTGCTTGGCATTGGCTGGTGCATCTCTGCGGTCACGCCAACCCAAGCGCGCGCAGCGGCCAGACGCGGTGGCGCTGACCGCCGGGCACGTCCCTGCTGGCACGTCAGTGCGAGTCGGCGACTTGGGCGGGCGCCTTACCATGGCAACGTCGACAAGGGTAGACGCGATGACGGTAATAGCGATGCGGGCGACGATGTTGACAAAGACGACGGCGCGGTCAGTGACGGCGCAGAGGCTAATCGCACCGACGACGATGACGGCGCCCTCGCGTCGGCGATGAAGGTTTTGGAAAGAAATCGACGTGCGCGCGCGGCCGACGCGCGAGCGTGCCCCGCATGGTATTATTTGACCCGGATCGTGCTTCCCAGCACGCGCGCAAGGGCGCGCGAATGATTTCGCCATGCGGAGCGAGAGGCCCGTTTGGCAGATTTCCGTGGAGGTTGAAAAACCTACGGTTGTCTTAAGAATTCGCGAGAGCGCGAGCGCAGACTTAAAAACCACAAACTGACGTTGCGAAACCATGCGTTGTTGTTTTTAATGTGTTTTGGACACTCAGTTTTGAAATCGCTATGACACCGAAGGCGTTTGACGGATTTCGGCATGCGTGCGCGACGGCGCGCGCGACAGCACACGCGCAAGGGCGTTCGAACGATCTTGACATGCGCGCGCGGAGTTCTCTTGGTAGCATGTTAAGAAAGTCTTGCAAACCTATGGTTCTCTCTACAACTCGCAAGAGCGCGCGCGATCAAGTTTTTTTTGAACGTCAGTGTTGCGAACCCAAGTGTTTTATGTTTCTGTCGCTCGATTATGAAATCATGCGAAACCGAGTTCTGTTAAAAGGATTTTGGCATGCGCGAGCGACGACGCGCGCGCGTGCATTTCGTCCCGTCTGTTGCAAAGGGTTCTTGGAACGTATGATTTGTGATAAACGACTGCGCGCGCATAATTTGTTCCCAAAGATTGCGGGGGGAACCGATGCCGGCCCCCCTGGCATGGCGCAAACTCATCTTTAGGATGGACGGTGGTGCAGAATCATACGCAAATTCCAATGCGAAAAGGGGATGGGACAATCTCCAGGGGGGGGGGAGAATCTATGCTCTCTTTCGAAAAAAAAGAATCTACGCTGTGCAATCTATGAGGCGCAACCCACTTCGACTGTCTTGAAGCTGTCCTCTCCACTGCTCGTGCAAACATCCCACCCTCCCACCCGCAACTTGGT